ACGAACTTATAACAGATAGGTCGATATATTGTTGCATATTTCAACCAAACATTGCCATTCCACACAATTAATGTTCACGGCTTCCGATTTTTCAGGCCAGTTTTCTCGGAAACTATCGGGTTGTGGCAGGCCAGAATAAAAATGGCCCGCATAATTTCTCACGCCGTTTCCAAAAAACTGGTTTTCCGGTCATTATCGATTTGACACTTCATGAAGTTCCCTTGTAAGAAATATATAATAGAAAATGAGAATGATCTAAAAATTCATTAAGTTAAAACCTTTCAGAAGAATAACTTCAGTGTCGAAGTTAACTTCTCTCTCTCTCTCTATCTCCATTCTATCGAATACCTTATTCTAATCAAATTTATTTAATCAACAATCAAGTTTATCAATAAAATTAAATAACCCACGTAAAGTCATAAAAGTTTTCGAACTAAGTTTAAAGTTATTCAAATAAACGTTGAATTGTTCACCTCGAAATCGAACCTGTTACATTGGAGCCCACGATGAGGAAGGGTTATTGATGGTTCTATCTCTTGGTCATTTTCTTCTTTATGAATAAATTGGATATTTGGTTCTTCATTCAACCCTCAAATCAACCTCCAAATTGTTCGCTAAATTGTTCATCTCGAAATCGAACCTGTTACAATTTGAACGTCTATTCTAATAATAAGAATAATTAGTACAGGCAGCACATGTTAGCTTATAAATTTTAAGGAGCGAGATGACGGACCCAAAACTTAACCTATAATATTAACGTGATTTGAATTAAGTAAATTTGATTCTCGCTCCGCATCTTTTTGCTCACTCTCATTCCATCAACATGTGCATTACTATGTGTGCCAAGATTACGCACAAGAAACTTGGAGTCGATATTCCAGGGTTCTTGTTCTAGAATATAGCCACAGAGTTTTATTATAATTAGCGATATTGAAGGTTCTCCAACACAATGGCCATAGTTCAGCTTATGGAATATTTATGAAAACACTTACGTAAAATGACTGTTTGACTGTAAATTATTGTGATAAACACATTAAAAAGATATAAAAATACGATGGAGAATCGGAAGAAACTTTTTAGCTTTTTTAGTTTATCGGTTGACTTCTTTTTTTTGTTAACTTTCAAACATTGAATGATAGATCGAACTAAACTTAAAAGAGTTTAAAGTTGACCCAAAAAAATTTTTCTATGATAATATTTTGAATTTGATTATCTGAACAAGCATCTTTTTATTGTCTGACGTTCTAGTTAACACTGTAAACAATTAAAATCAATTGATAATAGCGAACAATGACAAGGAGCCTCGAGGAAATTTTTCTATTGTTTTTTGTTTACAAAATTTCTTGCATCTTATTGTCTTATTGTTAACTAACTAAAACAAAAAACAATATAAAAATTTCCTTGAAGGTTCTCCTTCAATATCGTTAATTATAATAAAACACTGGATTCGGTAATTAATTTGATTGATTGAATTTCTTGCGCTTCACAGTTAAAGAGAGCTATTATTTAAATAACTTTATTTTCATCTAATTGGTGAACAATAATTGTATCTACCTGTACTAAAAGTTGACCTAACTGTGCGTAAGAATAGAGCAATTGAAGATAGCAAATTGATGACCACTTAACAATCACTGTAACAGTGATTATCAATATCACATGATTATTGATATCACAATTTACTAGTGAAACTCAATTTTTATATTTAGTTTTTGAATTTTGTTGATTGTTGCAAATTATTTGTACTTTGGTGAAGTGAAATTTCAACTCACTCTCCAAAACAGTTACTTAACTAACCCATAGAGGGAAAGACAAAATTAATTATTTCATCATCTCTCATAACCAAAGATGAGTAACTAATCAGAAAATTATTTTCAAAAGCAATAACCCATTAATAAACCTCAATTTAATTAATTCTTTTTAATTAACTTATTATTTCCATTTAACTACAACAATTGCCATTGATTGATTATCAACCGTAATCTCAATTAATCAAATGAATAATTTGGTCTCTCTCCCATTAAATTGTAACAATTAACCAAAGGTAATTAGTTATTAATAATATCCCTTTTAAAATGGGTATAAAAGAGAGAATTTTCCTTAGGAAAATTAGATCAATATTTTTATTAATCTAAGATTAATTTGTGTCTAATTTCTCTTAGAGAAATTATTGTATCTCATGATAACCTTGTCTTAATTAATTTACTTTAATTAAGTTACCTTGTTTTTTTTTGTTCCCATTTGTGTTCCCCATATTTAATCTTATGCTTAATCACCTTCATATGTACCGTTTTCAGACTCGCAGTTAATTTGGTTTTGTCAGTTCAAGAGGTAGTCATTTAATCACAATAAATATTTGATTTTGGGTTATAAATATTAAATTGTCACTTGGTTATTTTTATCAATCTTAAGGCAACGGGAAGTAACACCCTGAGAATCGTTGAGGAATATTCAAACTCTAACGGTTTCAAACATCCGAATATTAAAGTGAACCGAGTTTTCTCAGTCTCTCATTTTAATCTACGACATATGGCGACCCAGGCAGGATGGTGAATGTCCTAAGAACAGTTGCCATAGTGTATTTTGATTGATTACGAGGGTCACGTGAGAAGTTTTAATAAAGGGTATTATGCTAAAGAGATTAGCTACGCCCTCAAAGAGATCGATGAAAACGAATTTCCAATTAAGGCTGCGCTCGCAATAAAACTCGATTGGCTGAAATTGAAAAGTTTTATCTTAACTTCAAATTGGACTCCACCCTCACTAATAATGAAATTGTCATAATTAGTCTTAATCAACCAACTACCAAGGGGCGGGTACCTGACCAAAAAATAAATAATTATGTAAAACAAAATGTTGATAATTACATCGATACGCATCAAAAGTTTTTCCATCCAGCCCTCATCAAGTGAGCCAAAAAGTCCAGTTAAAAGAAGCTGCTCATCGGAAATTAAATCATATTCAACAATTCCAACATTTGCTGATATTAATCGAGCTGCAAGTCTTCTCTACACTCCTGATAATCATCAAGCTGCTGAAATAATTGGAAGTTCTAAGAACTCTAATAAAATTAATCTTTCTAAGAGAGATAGTGAAGAGATAAAATCAAGTTCAACTAACTCTTCATCAGTTTCTCCTAAGGAGAAACGAATTAAAAAAACAATTGAGCTAATTGATATCAACTCCACTTGTAAGTGTGACCGTGTATCTCACAAGTTTATAGGCCTCAAGTCTCGTGTCTCTCTGACTCTTCGTTGCTGAGAAAATCGCAAAAAACATCGGTAAAAATAGCAGAATAGCCCTGCATCACTGATCTATTGTGAATTAGGTAAAGAAACAATGTAAATATATAAAGAAAGGGTTTTACCTTACCAATTTGATATTTGAAGAGATTTTCAGGTCAGTATTTGTGTTTGGTTATTGTTGATTAGCTGTTAACAAATTTGATTTTTGATAGTGAGAAGGTTTTGAGAAAGAACAATTTATTCGTTTTACAATTTTTTAAAGAGAGAGGAGAAAGAAAAGGGGATTTCACTTTTTTTTGTTGAATTAGGGTTGAATTTATCCCTCATACGGGATCACCAATTTGTTGAGTTATTAGGTGATTTAACCAATTAATATTTACACTGACTTTTCACTGGAACATAAAAAATGAAATTTTTATTCATTTGAACACTTTTAATTGATTTTATTCGGTTGACTAAAAACTTTGATCTTCACTGATCGAGGATCACTTCTTAATTTTTAATTTTTCGCTTAAATAAAAAAATTTTTTCTACAAGGTGAGTTTCAAGTAGGAGATAGAGAGAAGAGAAAAACAAAGTAATTAAATGATAAACTTAATCTCTCTTTCGCTATCTCTTTGTCATTTTATTACATTTCGAATAGAATTTATTGTTATTATCGAGAAAGTTATGTTTTACTTATGTTTTAATTATTTTGTTGGAATTGATACCAAAACTTGGCGATACCAATGTAGACAAATTGATCAAGGACCTCAAAAGCACCTCCGTATTCACCAGGTCAAGTGGATGAAATTTTATAATATATAATTGTTTTGATAATATTTTATTCAAATGTACTTTATTTGTAGTGTTATTTGGGCTTACCATATACCTGGGTACTCTTTCTTTTGTTAATCTTCGTGTTTAGTGTGTACTTGATTGAGATATAACAATAGCTACACATAACCCAGATCACTATTAAGTAATCTATTGTAATTAGTTTTAATTAACTGATCACCAAAAGTGATATAATGTCGAGTTGAACCCTATTATTTCTTAAAACTGAACACTTTAATATACACTGTGTTGGGTAAAACAAATTTTCTATTACCTTTTAAAGTCTGCTACTTAAGTACCAGAAGCACTATGATGGTGAACGTTCAACCTTAAACAAAGAACTCACTTCTAACTAACAAAGATTAATTGTTGGTTAACACCAATTGCACTTTTAAAACTTTAATCTGTAAATTTAACTATTAAATCACTGTTTAGAAGAAAACTCGTATCCCCGTAAGTGCCAATCATGGAGAAATTCACTTTTAATTTCATAATACATGTTTATTATTAGTTCTCCATGATTTCTTAAATGGCGAAACATGACCATTTTATTGGTAAAGAGTGAGAAAAGTTTCTTTCTCAATTCCAGCATCATCTTCATCAGCAAAAATCATCCAATAGGATAGACCAAGTACCACGTGAGAGGTGGTACCTGGTTGTTACATTTAAAATGGTTACAACCAGTTTGTTGCACTATGTTACCTTTTTACTAGAATTTACACTCGAATAGAACTAGAGGAAGAATAGAGCTAACGCCATCTATTTTCCCTCTGAATAACTTATTTATTGATTTCAATCTAGAAATTTGTTAATGAGCAATTTAACAGATAATGAAACAAGTTTGCAATCTAATAGAGTCTTTTTCCCGAAACAATACTGAAATTAACAAAACAACATTAACCAATATGAAAGAATTAAATGGTAATTTTTGCAATTTTATTTGGTAAATTATCTCAATTGATTGAGTTAAAATCTGTCGAAAAGCAATAATCAAGTTTTCTTATAATCATATTATAACATCAATTTAAACAAAAAGTTTCAAGAGGTTGATGTTGACGATGATGAGGTGAATGATGTTGTTTGTGAATTGTGGTGAGGTGAAAAGGTTGAATTGGTGGGAGATTGAATCGTATTGATTGACGACTGCTGGTAATGGCTGTGCTGATGGAGGTGCCGGTATGAGAGAGTGTGCTTATTGTTATGCTTTCTCAGATGGTGACTTGTGTAATTTTGACTATTATTTGGGTTATCGAAAGGTTGAAAATTCACATTTCCGCAGTAAGAGTCATTTTTAAGGTTTGTTATTGAAAGTGTCAAAGGTCTTTGATTCGCTGAATGTTCAGATGATGAGGGAGAACTGGACGATAAAAGTGATGAGAAATCTGTTGATTGTGTATTCAATTTACCAGAGGGGATAAGCGGTCCACCCAGGGAAGAGTGAAATTCAAATTCATCGATAGTTGATAGAGTGGAACCATGATGATGTTGCTGATTTTGCAATTGTAGCTGATGATTAGGTAGCATATATTTGGATGTTAATGAGGGTGGACGATTAGTTGATGAAGATGTTAAATGAGTAAAATTTGAAAATGATCCAGAAGAAACTGAACTTGACTCTCTACCTATTGAACCGCTTGCAGTTTCCTCTAGAGAGCCAAAAATTGTTGTCGGAGGTAAACATGAGCCAATATCATGAATCGATGTTGACTGTGAGGATCGACGGCGTAAGGATCGGATAATACTATAAAATATGCCACCGACTGCAAGTATCATTATGATAAGAGTAAAAAAAAGTGTAGCAATTAGTGAAGATGAGGAGCAAAATACATTTGACTCATCATAACCGGAGGGACAATGTTTAACTCCATCACAGAGTAGATCAGGGCTTAGACAAAAGTTAAGCTCTGGACATTTGTAGAGACAATCAGTGTTTCGTAAGGTTTCACTTGTTTCCGCTTTCTGGTGGGTGGGTGGTGGACTTTTATGAGTTAACCAGTGGAAATTAAAGTGAGCTGAAGGTGTTTCAGCGATAATCTCAATGATCACCCTAAGGGAAGAGGAATTGAAAAAGGATATAGCTGAGGATGGATAAAGATTATCTTGTGATTTCCATTGGAAACGATTAACATCTTGAGGTAATAATAGTGATGATAAATGATTGTTATCATTATGATTCCATGATGTCGATAATGATGAGGATGAAATTGATGACGATGATGATGATGATGATGGTCGACGCTTCATTGATGTTGAACTGTTTGATTGGCTGGATGGAAATGATGTTCCAAATGATGATGATGATGATTGCATTAATGATAGAGATAAGTTGATAGTCTCAACTTGATCATTTCCGTTTCCTCCAACTCGTTGAACAATTGAACTGTTACGAGCACAGACTGTGGCCATTGGCCTCCATGGTGAATCCCAATAAATTACTATTCGATTTTTCCCCTCACATCGTTGATCTCTGTATATTCAGGGTATTTATAATTGATAGAATGACCAATGAAAAGGGAAAAGGGAAAAAGGTAAAAAAAAGAAAAATGTTCAATTAGTTAATTAGAAAGCTATCAATGTATATAATACGCTAGAACTTTTTTTTCACCTTAATCATCACTATTATCATTTAAATCATGTAATCTCAATACAAAATCAATCATTATACTGATTGAATTAGTTATTTGGAACCACTGGAATCAAGCTGGATGCAGACATGATGGCAAATCATTTATCGAGCGATTGAAAAAAAAAATCAGAATCAGAATTTTTCATTTCATCTCTTACTATTTTCTCTCATGTATTCATCAATCTTATTCAACCTGAATTCATGATATAAAATTTTCATAAGAATGAAAAAAAGGCAACAGTAATTCACTTATAAAGTTTTTTTTGGCTCAAATACACAAAAGGTAAAGGTAAACAATAGGAAAAAGTAAGTGATAGATTTGAAATGGTATAATCGCCTAAGGGGATGATACATATACGATTTAGCAATTATACTAAGTCAGTGAGAGAGAAAGTAAAAAGATGAATCAACATTTGCTACTCTTCAGATTTCAAGTGATTCATTGATTTGATCGTATGATTAATTTACCATGAATCATGATGATGAATTGAATAAAACATTAAGTCTTATCTAAGGAAACTGATTGAATTCAATATATTGAATAGCCTCATGAATTTGAAATATTTTTTTCCTGTTATTTTTGTGATTAAATTGATGCTGATTCAGCTGATGGTTAATGATTAGCAATTTAGAGATGCAATTGGAACCAGCAATTTAAACAAGAAAGTAGGTCGAAAGATATGTAAGAGATAATTTCTCATGATAATGAGCTTGATTGTTCAGTTGTTTGTGTATCTTTCATGATGCACGATAATATATTACTCTGAGTTTCATGATGGTTCAAAAGAAAAAAAAAGAGAGAGAGAGAAAGATATATGTTTGTATGCGTATAAAAGTCGTAGATGAAATCGAGATGAGAATGCTGTAAGGATGCAGAGAGAAATACTACTCGAGAGATAGAAAATGAAGCAACTCATTTCCCTTGTGAATTTCATCATGAAATGAAAAACTTTTTCTATTTGATAGAGATAATTTTTTTCATTCTTTTCTCATGTTGAGTTAGTTTCAAAACGAGTCAGTGTATGAATGGTTCACACTAAGAGGCTCGGTGAGTTAGTGGGTGGTTTGAGGAGGGAAGGAGGAGATATAAAGAACTTGTCAAGATTTTGATGAGTAAAATAGAGGTTTGAATGTATATTATGATGTACACATAAGATGATGAAACATATTCAGGATATTCACTATCCAGAGTATCCGGTAAAGAAAAAAATGTTTGTTCGTAATTTACAACTGATTCTGAGTAATCGTTTCCATTGTACCTTTATCCTCATCTTGATACTGACAATAGAGTTTCAGAAGAGAGTGAGAGAAGATCTGAATCTATGGTGAAAAGACGACTTGTTGCAAAGTGTTTTGTTAGTAGGCATTGAAGAAAGAAAAGAAGACGATGAGAAAATTTTGGAGAAGAAAAAATCTAACCTTTCTTTCTCATTTATCAAGAATAAAAAAAAAGTTCAACAAGAAACTGAATTTACTCAGCTGCTCGTTATACTGAATTCTATTGAAAATCATACAGCTATACGTAAGTACAGGTTGACAATGAAAAAGAAGAGAGAGAGAGAGAGAGAGAGAGAGAGAGAAGCTCTTCCATCCTGATAATGATCATGATCGTGGAAGTATTTTCAATGGCTACAGGTTGAAATGTTCAGGGAATAGGAAGTGAGAATGACAGTATTAAGATGATGATGAAAAGTCATGAATTTATCATGGGTGTGAAGCTGAACCTATTTCTCATGTAAGACAGATTGAGAAGAGAACTTTTTTTTTATCATCCTCCTTGATTTTATATCTTTTGCATATTCCATTGCTGTTCATCATCATGTTGATGTTTTTTTCTTCTTCTTCTTCTTCGTCTTGAAAAGGTTTCATGTTTTTGATGTGAACAAAAATGAAGCATCATGAAGATAAGATGAAGATAAAAAAGTTCTGAGGCTAGAAAATTGAGAGAAGATTCCATTTACTCAGAATATTTTTTCTTCCTTCTTGTTCTTCTTTTTTTTCCTTATCTTCCATCTTCATCCTTATGAATAATAATAATTCATGTAACAACCAAAGAGAAGTGGAAAGTTTGCAGTTGATTCAATAATATATTTATTTTCATCCTCATCATTATCATCTTTATCTTTTAGAATCTTGAACTTTACTTTTCTCAATTTTTTCTTCTTCTACTTACTTTTCAAAGAACGAAACAAAAAAAAATGAACAAGCTCAATATTTCAACAACAATGAATTTCTCATGGGTAAACTTTACCTTTTTCTCATTGTAGTCAATAATATCTGGAACAATTTTCATTCTCTCTCTCTCTCTCTCAATCCAAATCTTTTACCTCCACTTTCAAACTTAATCCACTCCCAAAGCTTAAATCCCTTCCCAATGGTAGTTACAATTGTCACCAAGTATTATAAATGTTTGTAGTAAACCTTTCAAAGGTCAAAGACAAATATATATTACATCATGAATTGAACATCTCGTTGAACCTTCATTCATCTAATTTTCAAGAGCACTTTTGATTGTTTGATTATTATGGTGAGAACTTTATTTTTTTTTCTCCTCATCTTCATGTCAAAATTGATGCATGATGATGATACAGTTAATATTATTGCCAGTCTTATATAATATACTTTATATTTAGCTGATGAATTGATTTAATCATCTATTGATATATAACTTGTCAGGGAAACGTTTCCATTATCATTGAATGTCAACCCAAAGAGATGAGATTGAGTAAACATTTTCCCTTGAAACTTTTTTCCCCCTTCTCCTCATCCACTCCATGGGAAAAAACTTATCATTATAAGATTATCTTCATGGTATCATGATAATGGATTTTATATTGTTATTACAACTAAACTGTATTCATGATCAGATAGAGATACATGTGTGTTAGAAAGAGATAGAAATTGTTGATTCATTGAGAAAACACTTGATGTAAAGTTCATACTAATTCAATGAATTCTGATTGCACTGAATCTATCGATGAAATTGAATAAGTGAATTATATATAAATAAGGTTTCGTCTACGTAAATTTGGATAGTCTAGCACCCATGCTAGATTAGGAACCTGATTCGTTACAAGTAACACATTTAATCGTAATCTCTATACATGATGATAATAGTGATGAGTGAATTTCTATTTGATTGGAAATTTGTTTATCATGTTAATTGTTTTGTTTACCTTTTAGGACGATATCCATCAAACCGAAGTGAAACAAATTTATTTGGATACCAAATGAAAATCCATCGACATTTAAATTGACTATTGGTTGACCAGTCAAGGTCAGAAGGCACTTGATAACTAATTGAACCCTCACTTTCAAGGTCGGTTTGGGTTGAATCAATTGAATGAGATGAGCAATAGTTGTTATCAATAAACTCATATTTCCCTTCAAAATGGAAATCATTATAATCTTGATTAAAGTTCATACCGATTATCGTAAAATTAAGGACCGATTGTGATCCAATTAGATTCAATATTATTGGTGTTTTCAGATTAACTGTTAAATTGGTTGAATCACAGAAGCAAGCGACACTTAATAGCTCATTTGTCACACTATCATAAACCCTTAAAGTCGATGAAGATAAAGATGATGATGATACGGATGATAAGGATGCTGAAGCTCTTGTTTTAGTTAAAGTAAAACCTTTAGATGAATATGAAGATTGTTTCAATTGATTATCTTTCCCTCTTAATCCAAAAGTTGATTTAGTTTTGGTTAATGTTGAAAGTGGTGAAGTGGAAATTGATTGAGATGAAGATGAGGATGGATTTAAAGGTGAGATACAAGAATAGGTTTGAATTGGATCATTAGTTGATTGTCGACACAATTGAGAAGCTGATGTCAATTTTAGTGAAGTTATTTTGAGAATTAATTTTTCACCTACTCGACCATTGAAATAATATGAACATGAAACATCTCGATTTCCACCTCGACCATAAAAGAAAAGGTTACGAGATGATCGGATTGTACCGGTAGATGATTTAATTGAATCAAATCGACGATCACAAAGTGTACCAATAATTGGATCACCTGATTCATAAGTATCTATAAATTCATATCGAGCGGTAAATTTTGTCGGTATATAAGTTAAACCTGGAAGACGACGTTGAAATTGACTAATCATCAGATTAGAACCTTTGGAAATATATGATTCTTTAGGATATGAGCATGGAACCGTTGGATTAATAACTGAATCAATTGGATTAGGATTAACAGGTAACTTGAGATGATTCGTTGAACGATAATTATTGTTGATATTATGAACTGAAGCTCGGCCACATATTTTGGGTGAACTTTTCTCACAAAAATGACCAATCAATCTAATGGTTGCATTACCATTGGGAGATTTTTTTCTCAATGATGGTAAATATTGTTGACCATTGGTCACTATTTCAGTAATCTGAAGCTCACCAGAGTCACATTTTTCCTCTGATGACCAAGGATGAGAGTCCTCAGTAAAATAAGATATAAATTGTAACCAAATTTTATCAAAACTATTTATGGACATAAATTGATAAGTACAACTTGTATTCTGTGAAGTTGATGGTTGAAGTGAACCTTCAAATTGACCACTTCGAGATCCACTTGACCCATTGTAAATATATTCACATTTATTAATAGATGATTGCTCTTGGTATCTTTGATTAATATTTAAAGGTAGTCGAGGTTGACCATTCTCACCGTTAACTATTGAAGACGGTGGTAAACTAAAAGGCTCTGAAGGTGATGAAGACAATGATGATGATAAATGATAAGGTGAAGATGATGATAACCCAAAAGATGTTGACTCTTCCTTGGTCAGTTTTATACTAATGTCTATCTCGAATCGTGAATCAGACAAAGCATTATCAGAAACACTTATAAGTACTAAAAGCATTTCTCCTTTTGATGATGTTATCGGTGGTAAATTACCAGTGCCACAGAATTGAAGGAGACGAGGCGATTTCGTGGTTGGACCATCGTAGACGATTACCTTGTCCAATGGACAATCTGATATGAGGCCAGTTCGTGTTTGTTTACCGGTGGAAGTTGACGTTGAACCGGAAAATATTGAAATTTTGTATTCATTTGACTGGAAAAGCAAATAGATAAGAAAAAAACAGAAATGAGATAAAAAAATAATTCACTCCGATTAACATGAAGATTAGTTTTCATGGGGGAAAATTCAATATTCAGACTATTATTATTATTATTATTTATCTGTTGAGGGAAAAGTTATTAAAAGGAGTTTTGTCTATGAGAAAAAAGCTTCTCTATGATTATCATTGAGAACTTGAAAAATATACTCCCAAGTTTCATCTTCAATTACAATTCTATGGAAGATTTAATTTGATGCAATTAGATATAATTCAATGTTTTTTTACTCCAATGATTATCTGAAGACATAAGTTATATCTCATTGAAAGTATTCTTAGTGAGTAAGTGGGTGGGAATGATGAGATTAGAACTTTGCTTTTTTATATTCTAAATGAGCTTTATGAAAGGGTTTAAGTGAGAAAAGATGAGGTGGATTTATTATCATGAAGCGAAAAAAGTTCAGAGGAAGGAGGAGAACAAGAAGAGGAAAAAATGATTCCATCATGATGATTTTTCCATCATATTGAAAGTTGAGTTTTCTAGTTGATTATGTTGAAATGATGTCTATTTATGTTTTGTTTGTCTTCATACTACATGATGAGGATGATGAAGATACAAAGTGTATCATTATTAATAATAGTTATTGATGAGGAAGATGAAATAGAGAGGATAAGAAAGATGATGATAAATGAAGAAAATTCTGTATATGTGTGTGTGTGTGTGTGAGAGAGAGAGAGAGAGAGAGTTGGACAGAAAATTCTTTCTTGATTCAGAAGGTTTTTGCTTCTTTTATTTGGTAGAAATCTGAGACTCTGATTGTGACTCTGGCAAAGAGAAAGTGAAGAAACTTAATTGACGACTGAATAGTTAAGAAGATGATGATGAAAATAGAAAGAGATGATGATGATGAGAAGGAGGATAAAGTCTAAAAGCTAATGGACATTCTCATGGGTGAACATTATATATTAGAGTCAACAAGTACCATGGAATGAAAAAATGTTACTCGAATTGATGATAATGATGATGAGAAAAAGGATCAGAATAAATTGTTGTTTTATAACCATGAAAGGAAAATCCAGGAGAAAAACAAAGAATCATCAGAATTAACTGATTAGGCGGAAAGATTAGCTCACAAATTCTGAGTAATTAGTTCAATATAATCACGAACTCATCTTAATGATACACAAATAATGAGGAAATAGATAAATAGTAAAGGTAGGAAGGAAAATTCAATTCCAGAGAAAGAAAGAAAGAGAAATCTGAAATTGTATTTGAAGAAAAGAATTTGAAATCAATTTTCATGCTCGAAATTATTTTATATCTATTTCGATGAAATTTATAAATCTTAATTTGTTTCATCATGTTAGAATCTTGGAATTATTTTCATGAATATTCAATGTCAGAATCTAATATAACTTTGTTACCATGAGAATTTTTTTTTCGGAAAAAAATGAAACTAATATTTATATTAGATATATAAATATTTAGATGGTAATAAATTCATGAAGATTAATTACTTTGATTACCTGATTAATTGTGATTCGAGGTTTTAATCCGTTTACATTTCGAGTTTGATTTAGTTTCTGTTTTATAAGATAATGGCAGGTTACATTTCTAGGATAGAATCCAGGATAATTGGGTGATAGAAGGCGACATTTATTATTATTATTATTATTGGAATCTAGACAATCATCAAAAATTTGGTTACATGGTGATGATATTATTCCAGGTAATTTAATTCTGGATTCTGTGGGTGGTGAACCTTCAAAGGCGAATGACAATAATGATAATAGTTAAGAGACAGAAAAAAACAATAAGATGATAATGATGATTAAGGTGGTACAATACAATTACAATTGCAGTTACATCATCAATACTATTGTAATATAACATTTAATGGTTATGATGATGATCATCATCATCAAGGTGATTCTTATTATTGTATTTCTCAGACTCAGATTCCCACCTCCCGTTGTCATGAAATATGTTGCATGTTTGGTTGGTGTTGAGGCGTAAAGAAAGATGAGTAATAAACTGAATTAATATTTATTAATAAGTTTAACTGAACATTGAAGTGGATTAGTGATTAGCGATTTGATCAATGACAGAATTGAGAGAATTTCTTTTTCTTTCAGAGAACTGGGAATGAAAGATACATAAATAATATAAAGAAGAGAGCGAAAAAAAGTTCGAAAGTAGGATGAGGATAAGGTGATGGTAGAAGATAAATTTTTTATCTTTTCTTTTTCTCTTCTATTCTCTTTTTTTTATCTTCCTCACGTGTTTCTCTTATAATTTATCAGGTGATTTTTTTGCTCTTCTTTTGCTTATTTTTTATCTGTAAAAATTTCGAGGGATATAAGATTATCTGGGGTGGAAGATGAGGAAAAAAGGAGGAGATTCTGAATGATGATAAACAAAATGTCATCATCATCATCATCATGAGAGATTGAACTTTTTGCTTATCTTCCCTGTTTAATGTGCTCTCCAAATCAACAATACTTAAAGTTAATGGTGTAAACATCTTGGATTATAATTCATTATCTTTCAGAATTTTTTTCTTCCTCTTCTTTTTAAGCTTCATTCAATTTTATTCTACTGAAAATATTTACCTTTTGTCTAATCATTCGATTCTTTGAGTGACCAATGGTCAAAATCAATAGTTGAATGAAGAAAAAGATAAATAGAAGATGAAAAGAAAGAAAGAAAGAAAGAAAAAGAGAAAGTGAAATATCCTCCTGGAAGAGATTGTATTTGATTAACTGTTTAGACATGAAACTGAATCAACAGAGAATCAACTAAAAGGATAATCAGATGTTGGGTTAATTTGTAATCAAATCATTTGCTTATTATTATTATTTGTAGGTGAGATTTTCATCTGATTGAAATAATCAGGAAATAGCTTCAGTGTTATCAAATAATATTCCCTCCCTGTTATTGTATGTGTTGTTGTTGTTTGCAGTTTCGTCATCCAGAAAACTTGAACCTTATTGACTCATGATGATTATCATGATGAGATCATGATGATAAAAGAGGGGGAAAAGTGTTAATGCCTTGGGTGATAAAGATGATAAACTATTCATTCTGGTGATTATATTTTTTTTCTTCTCTCTCTCTCTCTCTCTCTCTCTCTCTGTGTCAACCCACCGGTGGGTTGACAAAATAATCATGATGAAAAAGTAGTAACATGAGGTAATTTCAGTTGTGTTCTTGAATAAAATGATAACTAATTTGCTAATTTTAAAAGTGATTTATTTTATCGAATTTAATTCTCTTAAGATCAAATCAGATCATATTCTAAATCATAGAAAAAAAGTTTTTCATTAAAAAACTTGTAATATAATAATAATAATAATAATAAACTTCGGAACAATAAACAGAATCAATGGTAATATGATTATAAAATCAATCTGATTAAGAAAGAAAAATAATAATCTTTCAATTAGATTTCCATTAAGTGGTAAATTTATTTTTAGAACTTTTTTTCTTGCCTCCAACAGATTCGATAAAGTAAAAGTATTAATATGTTAGAGAAGGAGAAAAAAGTTTCAAAAAGTTGAGAGAATTGTGTTTCCGGGTTCTCTTATTTTTGTAATACAATATGTAAATATAACGGATTACAAATGATTCTGATTGTGATTCTAGAGACATAATCATTTTACCTCTTGAATGAATTCACATCATTATGATTTTCGGTGTTACCATGCATATGAAACTTTTGTCGTTCCTCATCTTCATTAATATAACTTTATATATCTTCCATCATCTTCATCATTACATCAACAGCAAATTAGGAGAAAGAGAGAGAGAGAGAGAGAAATATATTCTACACAATATCAATTCTACATCTTTCTCATCATGTCTTTCTCAGCATTCTCACTCTTTCTTCCCATGATTCAGAAATTTACTCTTTCCCTTTTTTTCTCATTCTCTTTCTATCTTTATATTCTCATCAACTGAAACATTTCCCTTGGATGATATCAACTCTCCCTCTCTCTCTCTATTTCTCAAGCATCATCATCCTTTTTCAACCTAATTGCCAACATCTTTTCACAATCAATTGCATATAAAAAGTGATCTTCTCATCCATAAGACCCTGTATCTTTCATACATCTAATTTAACCTGACATTTAATGTTACCACTCACGCGCTTAAAATACAAACATACACACAACAGCAATATGCTTGAAGCACATGAGAGTAATCAACCAACAGAAATCAATTGTTACTCTTCAAATACACTGGCAACAGTTCAATATGCATACAATTACAATTATATTATTATTCCTCTTACAATAATAATAATCAACATAATGATGATAATAATTATCTTCATCATTATCATCAGCAGTTGCATCTTAATCTCTGAAAATATGCAATTTTCCCATTTCAACTATTTAATTCCCAAGCATGTATATCCAATCAGTCCCTTATAAAGAGTAGTTGCCATATAAAAGGGCAACGAAATGTACTTTCAATTGCAATTACAAACTTTTTAGTATCAACCAATTAATTTGAATTTGTATTCACCATAAGTATCAGTCAAAGAATCACATTTTCAATATTACTGAATAAAATAACAGGGATTTTTCCCGCTTCTCGTTAAGATGGGAAGTATTTTCAATAATGATTTGTAACATATCGTATTAATTTGGGCTGAGCTAAACTGAAATTTCAGTTTGACTGAACTGATGTGTATAAAAGTTCATGTTGTTCCAGAGACTCTCTTGTTGCTATTGTTGTTACATGTGAACTTTTCATTTGAATGTAAATAATGATGAAGTTTTTATCCCTGCCAACATGGTGATGAACTACATGGTAATACTCATAATCAACATGAGCATGAAAGTGCTGTGATAAAAATGATCATCTATCAACATGATTACATGATAATTATCACAAATATTATTAATATTACATGGGTATTACCTTTTGCAAGTTATTAATAATACAAGTCAAGATAATCAGTATATTAGTCACACAGATTATTTTGACATCATGTAATATCATAGGGATGTATTTGGTGACCTTTTTTTTAACTAGTTGGATTTAACCTAGATAATGGTTATAATCGATGGTCATCACTCCTCTTTGTACTGGTCAAGAGTATTAATCAAGTAATCAAGGAACAAAAAATGGATCAGATTCAATTTGATAGTAACAAAAATCTCATTAACAGTTTTATCAATAATCATTATTTATTGTGAGTGATTAACATTTGATGATGATGATGATGATGGTCAATATCATTCGGATGAATTGAAAAAATAATCTCATTAAAATGAATACAAAGCTGACCAGTCTTCTGATTGGATAATTGATTCATTCATACGAAAGAGAGAGAGAGAGAGAGAGAGAGAGAGAGAGAGAGAGAGAGAGAGAGACATTGTGATGACCATACTGATTACAATCAATTGATTTCAAGGGTAATTGTTTGTAACTTGTTTTCTAATCTACAATTGATGTCAATTTAATTTCCTCTTTGTATTGTTACCAGAAAGTTACTTCAAATCAATGATACAAGTGATTTAATTGGTATTAACAATCAACTCGAAAATTTGGATCGTGATAATCATCATATTGATCATGACATTTGATCAATTACAATTAGCAGGATAAATACAAAGTGTAAAAGTTTAATTTCAATTGCAATCACAAGTCTGTCAATTGTTAAAGTAAATAATATATTCAGATTGGAAAATTTAAATTCAACCAATCAGATTGATTATTTTTCTCCATCATCATCACCATACTGAGTTTCACTAAAACTCTATTGAATTTAAGGTGAAGCTACAGAATTGGATTTCTATTTTGAAAAGTTCATTCAACATAAAGGTATTGATATAATAATGATACGAGATTGAATTACAATTTAGGATAAAAATCATTAGCTGATTGAGAACACGAATATTGTATGATAATGAACATCCAGAACCTTTCACTTTGATATGAATCGGCTAAAAGTATTAAGTATCCACTGGCCATTGGTCAATCATAATATGATATCATTTCCATGATGATGATGGTGGATAAAGTTGCATTAAACAGCATATTCCATTTACATTTAACAAACTGTAATCCATTGGAAAACTATTATTTCAACTTTTAGATATCTCTTTTTAACTTGGAATCCTCCCTGATGCTATGAGTCTGAATTTGGAATCTATTATTATCTCTAACTTGAATTACACTTTTGGAGCTTTTTCTCCCTCCCAGTCTTTTTTTCAAGGTTATCCAAGCTTGAACAACTTTTTTGCTTCTTCTCTTCGTTCTCAAAAAATCTTACAATCTTATGGACTTGAAGGTTTAAAATTTAATATCATGTTACCTTGGGGAGTTGATTGGACAGGGAAAAGGTTGGTCGTTTTTTTCCTGTAGGGTGGAAGTGGGAAAATGATCCTTTAGTTAAGCTCCATCAAAAGGACTTGGACAATGGAAAGGAAAATGATTCAAAGTTTCATCTCAAAGAGAAGACGAGAAAAAAATCACAATTTGAAGCTTTGATGGACAAATACAAACATTGGCTACTTTCGGTCAGTATTTTGGACCAAAATTACTATAATGATGATATGATTTCATGATGATAATCATTTCAAGTTGAAGATAAAATTCATTGTTTAGAAAAAAAACTATTCAACGACAATCAAGTGAGAGACAAAAGAGATGAGAATTGTAATCTAGAGAAAGAGAGAGAGAGAGAGAGAGAGAGAGAGAGAGAGAGAGAGAGAGTTATACAGAAAAAATCATCATCATTATCATGAATGTGTCATCATGGATAAAGATTAAAAGTAAACTACTAAGAAGATGAAAAATGAACGCACCAGTGAATTTAACTAAAGTATCATGAACTTTTCTTTCTTTTTCTCTGTTCATTTTCTACCATGAAGTTGTTATGTCTTTTAGTATAAAAAATGTTTCGAAATTATTAGGGAAGAAAATAATTTGTTAGAGAATTGGAAGAGGCGGAAGAAAAGATGAGAGATAAATTTTCCAGACCAGAACTAGAGAAAGATTCAACTACTAGCCAGAACTTTTTTTCCTCTCATCATCATCATCATCATCATACATGTATGATTTAGTTTCAACTCCATTGTTCAAGTTCAAACTCCTTGAAACTCTGAGATTCAAGAATGAGGCAAAAAAAAGAGTTCAAACTCATTGGTTTCCAAAAAATTGAGGATGAAAAATTTTCCAATTTAACTGATATTTTCTAGTGAAAATTTACAGACAATTAGGTGTTCGTTTCATAAAGGTGAAGAGACTTAATCATCGCAATTAGCATCAATTATCTCGTTAATTGTAGCATGATGATGTACAGAAAATGTTCAAAACTGACACAGAAACACATACATGTAGACATGCATACAAATAACTTAACATTCTGAAAAATGTTTACTCATTAGTTAATTAAATCCATCGGTTGCATGTGTAGCAAATTCAATCCCAAAAGTAATTCATCCTCATCTTTTATCAGAGGAGAAAAAAACTTTTTTCCCTTTTACTAATCTAACTCACTTCTTGATTAACCATGATTAATTTACTTAATCAAGCTCACACAGAGTAATTTGGGTGAATTTACACCAACAGCAATCAGGTAACCAAAATTTAACCAGAAAATTATTCATCTTCATGGATTTAAATTGCCAACAAGAAAAGCACTTACTTTGGATTTTCGTATATACCAAATTGATAAACATTAGTATCTATTAGCAGTTGATTGTTAATTCAAACTCAAGTATTGATGGTAACAGTTTTGTAATTGTATTATTAAGTTGATTGTTGTAATTTGTTTCTTTAATTGTTGTTTACTTACCTGGAGTGTTTGATGAACGTGATTTATTATTTTCTCTTGTGATTATTGCTGAGGTTGGGTTGATGGTTGTGGAGGTGAAAAAGTTGACTGGTAAAAATCTGTACGTCAGGTAGATATTCAATGGTAGATATTGGCTGAAAAAAGCTCTTCCCTCTTGTAATGAAATGGTCAGAGTTAAATTGTTTCCTTGGCTGTAAAAAGTTGCTCGTCGACTCTGTTGTTAATGATGATGACCAAATAATGACCAAAAAGTGATAATGTCCAACCGATGAAAGTGAAATTCAATGGCAAAGTGACGATCAGAGCAATGGTCAAAGTTTTCAATGAAAAAAAATATATAAACATTTTCAAATATTGAGTGAAAATGTTTTTTATTACATTTTGTGGCGTCCATTTTTGACACAGTTGTTGGGTTTGTTGGGGCGATGATGATGATGGTGACAGTAGTAGTAGTAGTGTCCAATTTTGTTGTAAAGTCCATTTAGTTTTTATTTATATTTATTTTTATTTTGGGTGAAAAACAGTGACCAAGAAAAAAATAAATGTCCAATGGTGAAAATTGTATTGATGGTGATGATGGTGATTCCCAGTGGTCAATATGAAAACGATAAATTATTATATCATGTTGAATGGTGAAGGAGGAGAAGATGGATGATAAAAGGAAGAGAAAGAAGATAAATTTTAGTATTAATAGTAGCAATAGCAGTGTGGTATTGTATCAAATGATTAGGAGTAACATCATCATCACCAACACAGAAGCAACAACAACAACAACAATAATAATAATAACTACATCTCAATCTAATATAATATCGTAGCTCTGTAAGGCAAGGATCTTGTAACAATTTTCATGGGATAAACTTAGAGTTCTGGGTAGGAAAAAAACTAAGGTAAAAGATAAATCTTCCAATGAGAATGGTTATCATCTTCATCATTAGAAAATGTGTATTCTCATATAAATGTTCATCATCTAGAAACATTTATCGAGCTTGCTGTTCATGTTCATCCTTTCATGTTATCATCTAATGTTGTATTATTTTCTGTAACAATCTCGAATTAAGATAATATAATATTTTTCTCTCACTTACTTATATTCTCTCTGTTCTAACTTTTCTCCTGTAATATTAGATTCTTTCTCACCATTATCTGTCCATCTCTCCATGAGTACTGAAAGTAAAAATGGATTGAGAGTGCTAATCAATCCTCTCTCCCTTCATCTCTCCTGTTCATCATTCTTGTCATTCACTTATTACTACAATCAAGATGATAATCTGATAGGAAATTTTTTTTCTTCTTTTTCTCTATTCCATTGATAATCTTCCTGTTTCCTGGCTCCATAGATAATTAACCATTCCATTCATAATCATCATTGTTGCCTGATTGTTGGAAAGATTAAAATGCTTATTAATTAATTGCTTTCAATTGTAGTTCCATTTAGCTTAATTATTTGATTGTTCGCCAACATTTTTCATACGTTTTTAATTGTCACAATTCTGTAATTGCAGTTATCTAATTGGCTATGATTAAGATTTAATTAGCTGTTTAAAAATTAATATTATCTTTTTTCTGTCAAGACAATTAATTATTCAAATAAAATGAAATAATAACTTTGCGTTGGTTATTATCAAATACTTACATATAACCAAGATAATGAATAAACGATTAACTTTAATCCTTTTTTTTTTATTTCAAGCTCTTATGTAAACCAGATTAATTATCAATTTTATTAGTAAATCCACAAATGATTAATTATCAGAATCATTAAAAGGTATTCAAATGGCAAAAGATAAAACAAGTGATAGAGAGTAAGAATTTAATTTTATGCTAATCACTAGAAACTGACCAGCATGAATATAATTTGATTGAGTTATCAGAATTCAACGTATGAGGAATTATTATTATGAGATATTGAGTATTATTAAGTTTGCTAATCACGAGTATAACTATTAATAATTACCAAAAGCTATCGAAAAATCTAACAGTCAATACATTAATAGATTCTTATTGTTTATTTAATGATAATAATTTTGCTTATTATCTCAATCACAATCGTAAACTATCAGAGCTTTTATAAAATATAATAATACGAAATAATTAGAGAATGAGGGTTAATATTTTCATTCTGTAATCAATCAAGTCTCTAATCTCTCTCTGCCTTTCTCTATCATTTATGTAATATTATGGATATTGTTACTTTTACTTTAGTTTATCATCATTATTAATGTTTGACAGACTTTCGATTCCAATGAATTCAACAGATTCATGGTGATGATAATGAACACATGATAACAGATGATGAGAATCATATTCTGATATCATAAGGATAACAAGATGTAATATCAAAGAAAAGAAGAAGAGAAAAGAAAAGCAAAAAAGCAAAGAGTTGTCATAATCTTCATTTATCACTAATATCACATGGAAATTAATCAAGAGCTTTAGATTATCATGATAATAAACATGATGATGACCAGTCGATGGGTAAAAAAAAAGAAAAGTGAACAAAAGAAAATTTCAAGCAAGTTCATGATGAAGATTCAATAACAAATGATAAGAAGATTTTAGATTATATTATTTATCATCAAACAACCTCAAGAATTTCAAGTTATCATATTTATTTCATGTTTCATTTATCTCTTGTCTTTTTCTTTGCTTAGTATTTATAAGTTATGGTCACTTGAAGATGAAGATGATGATGATGATAAAGATAAGAGTTGGATTGGTCACTTTTCTTTTACACAATCGAAGAGAAATTGTCATACAGCTTATGATGAATGTTACTTATATTCCTTAATGTTTAGAATCTGTGTCGATATCAATTCATATCTATGGAAGTTCTGAGATATTGAGTTTGTGTGTCTCTTCATTCAGTTGAAAATTGTCAAACTCTAAGCTCAAGTTCAAATTGAATAGAAACATAAATAAACAGAAAGTTCGTTGATAAAAAAGAGTGCTGGAGAAATACAATGCCTGTGGTATTTTCAGAGATGATATTTTCCTAGCATGAATGATAATGGGCATTATGGTTGCTGATACTAACACGATTAAACAACGGACCCTCTTAACCGATTACAGAATCAGAGATATTGGTGGTGTCTATGAGTCTACTATGGACCAGACCGAGGACATTTCCCGAAGGCAGGAGGCAATGCATCTGCGAACTTTTGAATTTTTGAACTAAATTCGTGAGGATAAGTAGTATGAAAACCTCCGCTTCTGAGCCAGAAGCGGAAACGGAAATGGGGTGGGGGCCAGAGAACGTTCTAGAAAGTTAAATGAACTGTCTGGGATGCCGTCAATAGTGTCCATGAAACCATCATTCGATGTTAGGACTAATGATCTGTGTAGGATGACGTGAGCAGTACCGTTGGAAAATGATGCAATAAAAATAGGTATGAAAAACACAGTTTTTGTAAGTTAATCATCAGTATGAAAATGTGGACAGATCAAGTTGTGTTACATTAAGGTGCAAGTGGCCTAAAAGTTAATCTAATAATTGATATTGTAAAAAATAAAAATTTGACAGTAAAGATAACCAAAAACCAGCTGGGTATGATGAAATCGATGTACCAAATTGGACTGTTGCAGTCTCTTTCGTTACATTCATCGTGGTCCGAACGTATCCTCTTGAATACACAAAGCTAACGTCTTACTACTACGCTATCATCCAGAATATAGTGCAAAAATTTTAAATTGAAGTTTTAATCTTAGCTTTCGGTCAAAAATGGGTGCGTGAGGGGTTTTTCTATTCATGAGGGTCACCTCATTTCAACAAAGTTCATGATTTTAACAATTCTGACAATCACAATAATTTAAATTAACCTATGTTATGTTTAAAAAAGCTCACCAGGACTGCTTTGAGGGTTATTGGTCATAGGCACATGGCTTGATGTATCCAGATTTTCGCTAAAAACCATACCTTGAATGTTTGAAAAATGGTTCAGCAGTATTTTTATTAAAAAATATTTTAATTAAATGATTACTAAGAATAAATAGATAAACGATTGGCAATTTGAAAAAAACATGATTCAATGATGAAAACAAAGTTGTGAAAAAAGATTACAACAGAAAAAACCACAATGAAACAAATATAGGAATGTAAACAAAACTATCATTAACGATGCATCCAAGAATAAATCCAGTATCAGGTTATTGCAAGAGCGCGTGATTCAATGAGCATTTTTTCGATTTTATGATCATTATCAGATTATTTCCCCCCTTTCAGCTTCAGGATAATTTATTTTACCCCCACTTCCGCTTCTGAGCCACTCAGAAGCGGTGGTTTTATATGTACTAGGATATTATCCCGCGGATAGACTTTACTTTTTACTCATTTTCAATTATTACAGGCCATCTATCTGGTTAGAACTTTATCGAAGCGATTTTACGGATGATTACATTAGTTAATTACTTCCATTTCGTTAATTGTTTTACATTATTTCATTGCTTCATTATGGCTTCAATTGCTACACAGACTCATGTCACGATAAATGAACTTCTCAGGTAAGTGTACATTAAGGTTAACTACGATATTCTAATTGTATCTTTCATTTCAGGGAATTGAATATGGCAGTTCCTCTCTTTGCAAAGATTGGCATTATTTTCAAAGTTATGGAATCTTATCCAACATTTGATGGTTCGATTTGACAGAATTTTGCTTAAGCAAAATATTATGCTACAAATGAAAAGACTCATTGATGCTAGTATCACCAAGATGATTAGTTTTCGCTCTGAATTGAATGAGTTATTTGATCGATTTGATCAAATAACTGCTCAATTTGATGAGCTCAAGGAGAAAAATCAAAATCTCGAAGATGAGAACAAAACGTTAAAAGCGTTTCTTAAAATTCAAGAAGGCCCAAGGCAAGAAGGAGGGTGAGAAAGAGGTTAAATTTATCGATTGGACTCTCAAAAGACTAAACTGTACCTTTGGAATTAAAAGGGAAGAGTTCCCAGCCTCTTCAAGATTCCTTTAATACTTAATCACTGTAGAAAAATTCATGGTAAAATTTCATAGTTAAAATCAATTAAAACAGTTCATTTTAACACAAGGTTTTAGATTTATCCTTTTTTCAAATCTCGCGCCTAAAAAATTCATCAAAAAAAATCACCTCTTAAACTTTGTCCCAGAGTGTTTGTTCCAGAGCGGAAAGTTTGTCTCAGAGCGGACGGTTTTCCCAGAACAGGTCTTTATTTAATTACTAATGTGAAATTTTC